TTTTTTTAGGTTTGTCGATTATTTTAAACACCTAAAAAAGAATGGCTAATGTGTCAAAATATGGCATTGTAACTTACATTGATCAATATGGTATGGGCGTACGGTATGGGGTATAAAGTACTTATTTTAAATTTTGTACCATGCTGACTTGATGTTATATATTACTGTATTAGGTTTAGAAATTATTGATATAGAATATTAGCATGGTATATATTAGATATTTTACACCCTTTATCATACTAATTTGATCATTCATATTACTAGGTTTAGAAATCAACATAGCTTAGCACAGATTTCGAAAATCCTATCATAAAATATTACACAAGAAACAAGCTTTTGTCTTAGCTAAGTTTTCTTGCAAGTTGATTGACTTGCCTGTTGATTTAAATGGTGCTTAAAAGGCGATAACAAAATTTTGTGAAAGCTTAGTTTTTAGATACGCGTACAAAATTTTTGCAGAGGTTCTCTTAGTATTTCAATAAGTTTACATGCAAGTTACATTTTCTAAATTAGTATCTTAAATTATAATTTAAGTATGGTATAATACCTATGTTAATAGCATTTATATTATTAATAAATTATAAATAAGAGAATGATGCTTCGAGCTTTCCATTTTATAATTTATTATTTACCGAATTTGGCCTTTAAAACCTGATCGTAATATCTATGACATGTGATATATATCAATGATCAGTTTTTTCACGAGCTGAATTAATAAATAATAGATGATAAGCTTGAAAGTTCGAAGTTTCTATTTCTCTTGACAGTGCTCAAACTATTTCTATACATTTTGGATTCATACATTTAACTTAGCTTTTTTTTTTTTTTTTAATCTCAATGTGTTACTTTTTTTTATAAATTTTATTTTTATTTCCAATTAGCTATCCTATTTTATCTCATACTATTGTAAATTACATATGAGTGACGCCAAAGGAAAATGTGACATTGGTTTATAATTTATTATTTTAATAAATAATCAATGATAAACCAGTGTCCCATTTTCCTTTAGCGTCACTAATATTATATCGTTCATTCGTTAGTTACATATGGGACCCCCCACAGCAAAAGAAGGGGCCCATCCCTCCTTTTGCTGTGGGGAGTAAGCGATTTTCCGGAAAGATTAGTTGCGTAACTAAAATTCATCAGATCGGCAAAATTTTAGGGTCAGAATGCATTGAAGATTCTATGATTACATTTATCGTAATAATTAGATCATAGATTATTACTACAATTTCTAGATTAATAATGTATTATCACTAAATCGGGTGTGGAATGTGAATACTATAATGTTTAATCTTTATTAATAAGATAGTAAGACGGAAAGATCCGACAGGAAGCATAACGAGTAGAAGGTTGAACACACGGTTAACAAAATAATTCTCATCTCACATAGCCTAAAGCAAAACCGCTCATTCTCACTTACGCTCTCCCAAATCTGGGGCGTTGCACTGGATTACTGGCAAAATTTATCACTGAAAATTTGGTCGATCTGATGAATTTTGGTTGCATGACTAATCTATTCCTCTATTCTGATTTACGACTTATCGAGCTCGGACATTGGACGTGTTCAACTGCTAGTTTGATAATTAAAATTTACTCTCTGACCAAAACCCACCTAATATCTCAATACGTACATAGTAATTGCTGCTTAAAATTTGATCAAAGATTGAGTATTATTTTGTTTACATGAAAATTACGACATCAAGATTTTTCAAAAGAGAAATAATCCAAGATATATATATTTTTTATTCAAATGTTGAAAGAATTTCTTGTATTTAATCTAACTGCATCTAAATTGGAACCATGTGATTACATTTAGCTTGATTTTCTAAAAACTCAATTTCAAAATCTTTAATACTAAAGTAATTTACTATTTTCAAATAAAATTATTCGTTATCTTTAATATGCTGTGATTCTGAATCAATATCATATCAACTCGTGCATTATTAGTCATGCCTATATTTTTTCTTGAAACTTTGGCCTTTACAATGAAAGGTTTGCAAATTTTGATATACTGTGATTTAGAAATTTTTAAAACAGAATACAATGCAACTCTTTAAAAGAAGTGGTAAACACTCGAAACATAGTTCCTTTTTTGCAATAACTTGCAGGTTTCATCATTCGACAGGATGAACAAAGATTATGTAAAATGAGTAACCCCTATTTAGAAGTATGATATTCAAAAAGATAAAGTTTCGTATGGTAATCACATTTATTATCGTTCGTTCTAGACATCTAAATTATGCAAGTCATTTTTTACTATTAAAATATATATATAAAGTGATAAATTATCCAGGCCACTGTCCCGGTTACTAAATTCCAAAAAAAAAATCTTTAATAATTAATTTTATATGATACTACATATAGTTTTGGTTTACATAATTGACAGAATACTAGGGATATAATATTGTTTATCTGAATTCTGTTTATCCCTGTTTGAAATCCAAACCGTTAAGCATGAGTTTTTTAATTACGTAAATTTAATTATATAAAATGATACTCAGTGTGCTCGAATCGAGTTCGGAATCAATCTTATACGCGTAAAGCTTTGTGATCTATAATTTTTAACCTTTTAATTAAATAGTATAACACTTTCAAATTAAATATGATTTAAAAATGAAATACTGTATAAATAGTAAATATAATAAAAAATTTTAATTCAATATGATGTCTTTTGATTATACTGTATATCGATATGATTCTTGATTAAATGATATTTTTAGTATACGTATAACGGGATATGTTCAGGTGAGCATAATTAATTTTAGTATGTATTCCAGAACAGATTTTGGAAGTAGCTACCCTAGCAAATATCACGGCAATACGGCATATTTGCCGTATAAGTAGTCCTTGTAACGATACGTATTCGTATCGTCCAACGTAGATCATACCGAAGGACCGGACTGATGCATCCCTATTTAGTGGCGAATATAAAGATCTATTAATCGGTGGATTAAAAAAGTGATTCATGTTTACGAACACTTATTTACTACTAAGGCCAGACCAATTTAATTCTTCGTTTAACCCCCTATTTTTTAATTAAAATTTATATAAACCCAATATATAATAGTAATTAATATTTAAATTTTATATAGCTAACATATATAAAATCAACCAATAAAATTGCAGTATTGATATTTTTGTGTTTTTTTTCAATGCCCCACCCCCTTCTTACAGTTATTTTGTGTTATGTTAAACGAAGAATCAAGTTGGTCTGGTCTAACTAATACCCTTCAGATTACCTTTCTATTCGGTCAGTGAGTATTACAATATATTTTTAATGATATAAAAGATCAAAGTAACCTAAATACGGCAAAAATATACATTGTAATAATGACAACACGTTTAAAACATAATATTTGGCATGCGATCCCAACAAGTAAAAATGAGAGTATTAATGATTGCATCAGAGAATTTCAGCTTAGAGCCATTGAATGGATTTCATCCAACAAAATTACCGTATAAGCGCGAAAATAACGCATTATTTTGAAGATCGGATAACTTATATGTTCTAGACATTAGCACTATGGGCATCCCGAAATAATGTGCATCCTAATTAGCACATAATTTATTGTTGCATTTAGAGATGCGATCCGTTATCCGTTTTCCTATTTAAAATTTAGCGGATATCCGGATCGCATCTCTAATTGCATTTCACATGCGCTTTCCTATAATAATATGTGCAATAATCGTTATGTAGATTATGTATGCTCCATAAATGAATATTCTATAAATGCACTTTTACCAAAAAATCAATAACGCACAGGTGGGCGTATCTAACGTTAAAGAAATTGGCAAAAGAGGATTTGGTTATGTATATTCAGCAACTTGGTTAGATGGTATACGAAAATTGATTATAATTGTGTAAAGCTCATGAACCATCTCGTACAAAAAACTATTGATTTTTTGTGTTTACTGAAATTTGATTGGCCAGCGAAATTTTCAGGTAGCAACATACTACATCACTCACGACAACTATCTCACGGCAATATAACCTCGGGTAATTAGTCATTACTTTGAGAAATGTCTCATCTTTAAGAACAGTTTTAGTTCGGGTTTCGAAACACGTACCAACCAATTTAAGCAGGATCCCCCAATTAATATCGATATCGATTTGTTCGATTTTTATATTATCACATGATCACCTAAGCACCAACCTGGTACACATTATAATTTTATGGAAGCTACTTTGCAAATTATAATTTTTTTTATTAGTAGGAAAAAAACCCTAGAAATTCCCAATATTATCTGGCCAAGCCTACAACCAACTCCAGTGTATTACTGGATATGGTATTAGAAAAGTGAAAATAAAAGAAATTTTATTTGTAAGCAAATAATTAATGTGACGGATTAAAATGAAATTACATGTAAAAAATAGACAAGCCCCCGAAAAATAAAAATTTTTGAGGTGCATTTTTTAGGGTAGGAGGTTAGTTTTAGGGTAGAGTTTATAATAAACAAGTATAAATGGTTACTACATTTCATTTTAATCCGATTTCATTATAATCTGCGACATTTCATATACCTATGTGGAAAACTTCGGAAATCTAGAATTCCCCATGTTAAAAGGTGTGAACGGCGCAGATCACCACCAGATTTCCAGAGTCCCGAAGTTTAATTTTTACTAATCTAAATTTCCAAATTCTTCGATTTCCCGCGGAAATCGTTGTTCACACATTTTTGAAAACGGCTATAATGTGGTCATATCACCTCACCCTTTTCTAAATCAGAATGCTGATAATTCGCAAATCCCCAAATGCGGAAAATCCAGAAAAACTGAATTCATTTTCTAGTCAAAGTTTCATATTATCTTCTTTTTAAATTTAATATATGCCATATAACAATATGCAACAGAATGAAAAATGAGAGTAATGAGAGTAATGAACAACCTTTTTTCAAGATATAAAGCGATGAAATAGCCATTCCTTAACTTTTTCTATTATATATAGGTATATTCAATATTCTAATCAATATTCTAAAAATACGTTATCTTTTCGAAAATGAACAAGAAATATATACTATGTGTATTTGTTGTAATGATAGCCATAACGAATTCAAGTTATGCGTCTCCAGCATATTCTAAACCTATGAGTAAAAGAGCATCACCTGCACCTATGAGTAATACAGCGAAAATTCTTGTTGATGATGTTAATAATTTAAATGCTGTCGGAAAATTAGAAATTGTAAAACAGGAGAGTAATATATAAAGTAGTATAGTATGAAACATAAAAGGAGTAGCGTAGGACAACTTTAAGTTCTTATACTCATACGTATATTTAAAAATCATACCTATCAAACTTATAAGTAGGAAAGATGACCATACTTATAAGTATAGCAAGTATGAAGACGGTCATACTTATAAGTATACCTGTGCGACAAAAAATGTGAAGCGAACATTTCACGTGATATAAGTGCTAGGTTTGGGATGATCTTAGATGATCGGAACTAAGATCAGATGCATAATATAGCGTGATGGGTAAATCAGTGATTAATTAAAAATAAAAAAGTATAAGGTAGCAAAGCGAAGCATAAAAAATTAATATAAAGAATGACATAAATGATGTAATTAGTATATAATATAAGAGTAAAAAAAAAATGGATGCAATTAGTATATAATACTGTAATATAAGAGTAAAAAAAAAAATGAATAGCTTTTGATACGATGTACATATAATTAATTTTAAGAGCTATATATTCATTAAAGAAAACTGTATTTCAAACGAATGTTCTCTTGAATTGGATTTACAATAAAGAACCCGTTAGTGTTTAACCCCGCAACATTATAAATAATGTATAATTGTATATCAAGCACTTCGGCATAAAATTTAATATGCACTGTAATATTTTTGCAGTTTAATAATGCCGATATATTTTGAATAATCGTATGATAGTGTATGTGCGTACGTTGTACGTAAGATTTTTTTTTTTTTAAATAATTAAAAGCTATCAATGTAAATCGCATATTTTTGTTCGTGTTTACTTTCTTGAAATGGATAATATTTACTTTCAAGCTATCGATGATCCTGATCTTTATATTAGCGATGATCCTGACTTTCAGATTATTGATGGGGTTGAAACAATTTACGAAGAAGATCTAGAATCCTCTGAAAATAAAAGTGTATTAATTTCTTCCAATGATGAACTTCAAGAGATTGATAATAATATTGCAAGCAATTTAAATGAAGATACAATAACCTATTTTACTAAAGAATTAGCATCGAAGGTTATTTATCATACATTAACACCTATAGAATATCCTGAAACAAGTCCAGAGGGCGTTGCTTATGTATATAATGTTGAAGGTTGGGAAGAACCGTTAGCTGCATTCAAAGATGTTAGTAAATTTTAAATTTTATATATTTTATTATAATTATATTTTACTTAATATATTTTATTTTTAGATTCAATATTCAATTGGAAAGCCCGGTGGTGAATATAAGGTTATGTGTCCATATCTTGGTGTCGAAGTAAAACGTGAAATGCGAACTTGTCAGGGTTCAAAACTTTGTGAATTTGCTGCATACGAATTATATAATCAAACACATCAATGTGTTGATATTAATTCTGATCTTATGATGCGAATAACTGAAGACATTTCATCCAGTAATATGGATAATAATACTTTTGAGTAAGTAATAAATTTTGAAAGTTTTATGATACTATAATATATTAATTAAATATTTTAGACTTTATCTCGCTGCTCTCGAAACACCCTGCAAGTTTCAAAAAAACAAACAATTATGTGAAGGCAAACCTGTTTTACGTCACTTATCACGTCGAGATAATTCTGAATCTACCTATTTTATTGGATGTACCAATTGGAAATTTGGAGAAAAATGTCATCGTTTTATGTATATTCCTTCTAATATTAATATTGAGCTTTTGCGCAAATTATTTGATGGCACTTATGAGGTAAATAATTAATTTTAATTTAATTAATTAATATATCTATTGCTATATAATTTAGGTAATTTTTAATTATATGTATACTTATAGTCTAACTATATTGGTGATGGATCTACAAATGAATGTTACGTTGTATATTCAAATTCTGTAAAAAAAAAATATTGTCGTAAGTATTATAATATACAATAAAAATAATTATCATTATAAAATTTTAATTTAGTATTCTAATATTTTATATTATTAGCTTATCCTCATCAATCAGGAAGCAAAATTTGTCGTGGTCAAATTAAAAAAAAATTATGTGAAGTCGAATTCTATAAAATTATACCATTAGATCTTAAAGCATGTCTATTTGTAATTCTTATATGTAAAGGATTACATACACATCCACCACCCCCTCCTACACGAACTCCAGATAATATTAAACAAAGGTTACAAACACTTGTTAAACAAGCAAATGAAGATTTATTAGATGTAACTCCTACCCGTATTATAACAGGTAAATTTAAAATAAATTTTATTTAATATTATATACATATTTATAATATATACAATATTTTTATTTAATTATATTTTAGGCAATTTGATCAAGACCTATTTTGGTGTTGATAATTTATGTGAAGTTCATGCTTCGCTTAATGATACGAATAAGTTACGATATTGTGTAAACAAAATTCAAAAAGAAAAGTATCCATTCGGTCGAGATTTATTAGGAGTTGTATACAATTTTTCACGTAATATTGATGACTTTCAGGATTATGTTCAACGATTAAGTAATTATATATTAAAATATAATTTTTAAAATTTAATATTTAATTTAATATTTACTTATTTTATTTTATTTTATTTATTTGGTTTAGATTTTTTTAATAACGGACATATAATGGTTATTTGTACTACTCAAGTTCAAATACAAAAATGGATTAAATGTGATTATTTTGAAATCGATCTATCATTTAAAAAAGTTGCTGGTGAAATTAATGAATTTGAAATAAATTATTATGATAAACAGTATAATACAAGTAAGTATTTTTTTTATATTATATAGTATAGTATTAATTTTTCAGTTAAAATTTGCTGTAAAATTATGAGCAACTGTTTACAAGTATGTGCACTATTTACAAAATGTTAATTTTTTCTATGCGGCATTTGCATATTTGTTTAAAAGAAAATATGTGCAAATTTTATTTTTGTACGCTATGCACAGTCTGCATAGTAAAAAATAATTACTGATAATATGTATATATTAATTATAATTTATTTACATATTAGTTTTAACTTTTGCTCGAATTTTTACAAATCAAGCAACTACTATTGCATATCAACGCATGTTTAATGCATTATTTGATCTTGTTAAGCAATTTACTGGTGAATCAGCAAAATTTCAGCATATTCACGGAAACGGATGGGCTTGTATTATCGGTGATCTTGATATAGCGCAACTTACTGGATTAGGTGAAACTTTGGTTTTAATTGATAATTCTTTTACTTGGGAAAAGCATTTAATCCATATTTTTAAATCTTGTCAAGTTCATTATAAACGGTAATTAATAATAGTAATTAAATTATATTTATTAAACATATTAATATCAATATTTTTTATATAGAAAACTATATGAAAAAAGATTTGAAATTGATATTAAAACTAAAATGGAATTATTATTAACTGCAAAGCCCGAAGAAGTGGAATTAATATTTGATGAATTATTAGCATTAGATAATAATCTTACAGGTAAGTTTTATAAAATTATGATTAAATATATTATTTTTAAATAAATTAAATCAATAATTATTAAATAAAATAGATTGGGTTCAATATTATAAACAACCTTATATAATCGCATCACTCAACCCAAACATATCAAAAATTCCACATGATTTGTGGCATATGGCACCAAATAGTACAAACTGTGCTGAAGCAGCACATGCCATGAGTAATCGTGAAGGCAAACAACTCAAGCTAATGATGGCAATACTAAGGTTTAATTATATAAACATAATATATATATATATATACATTTACTTATTAATTAATTTTTTTAGAGGACAAAAGCTAGACATGCGCAATTTTAAAAGAATTAATATAAAAGCCCATTACAATGTTAATATAAGTGGTCAAGACAAAAGTGGTATTGCACGAAAAAAATTGGCTATTAAACGAAGCAGTCAGTATTTTTTATTTTAATTTAAATTTTATTTTTATTTTTTTTTTAATATTTATATTGATTAAATTATATTTATTTGTACAAATAGCAAAACGGCAATCTAAAGCTAATTCTTCAACAAAAAATAAAAAACAACGAATATCCAAAGTAATCGATTTAACTGACGAAACATCACAAGAATCTCAAAGCAATAATAAACCCAAGGAACCTGGTATGACGATGATGGAACAATTAGAATATGAGGAACGCATGTTGATGATTGCAGAGCGTAAAGAAAAATTAAGAGAATTACGAATTTCTAACGCTATTAAAGAGCGCGAATATGGTCTCAAAAAATAAATATCAAATATTATATGCGTGAGAAAATAAAAAAATTATTAATGTTTTAACATTAAAACTTGTTTGAATATAGCGAGTGGTAGGCACAAATATTTGCCTGTTTAAGGCTGGATGAGCGATTATCTATTTTTCGATTTGAATAAAATCTATATATACGTTATTATGTATCAGCGCTCATTATTTAATAATTTATCGATTAAATCAATTAAATTAATTTTCTTATTGATTGTATAAATATGACCTACATATTAGCCGACCCTGATTAAATTACATACAACGTGGACAAGCCCATCGATAAAAATTCATATGCCTATATAAAATAGTATACAAACTAGTATAACCCGACTCGAATTTTTTTTATACATATATGTATACTATACGCTTTTTTAAAAAAAAAAAATTTTATACGTATAAGTATACTATACGTCTTTCATGGTATTAGCCATACGATTTTTTGCTATACCGAAAACAGGACGGGACACCTGATTGTTGTACCGCCTCTGTAATTAGAACTGATAATGGAAATATTGCGATAACCGCTGCACATTGTCTATGATTTTAACACTCAGACAAAGATTTCTGCAGCTTATTTTTATCCTGGGTACAACAATGGACAACCAGGACAAGTTGGAAAAGTTGCGGCTAAATCTGGTTATATGTATGAGCCTTTTACGGAAAATCCTATAACGTATGATTTTGCCCTTATAAAGCTTGATTACCCAGAAGGAAGAAAATTACAAGATGATACTGGAGCTTTCGATTATGATCTCGATATACCTCGTGATAATTATCCAGTTAATGTATTTGGTTATCCGATAGATGGTGATATGAACTGTCCCAAAGATGGACAACATCTTTGTGAGTATGAAGGACTTTCATTTGATATGCCACCGGATGTTCCAAATCCCCAGTCATATAGAGCTATAACTATAGATGTTGGTCAATGTTCAAGTGGGGGGTCCTTGGGTGAGAATTTATAATCCAGCAACTAACATAGGCAATGTAATGGGTGTCTCACATGTTATATTACCTGAGCCTTATCCTGATGAAACCGCCGCTTGGTCATGGACTCACAACGATTTTGCAGTTCTATTGAACTATGCTGAAAATAATTAATTTATACAATATACAGTAATATAAATTTATAAAATACTAGCCTTGGGTAATTGACTCTAAATATTATTAACATAATTCTGTTGAGTAATTTTTTAATTACCTATTTCTTATTTATCAAATTTAAATGAACACTATCATCGTTCAATATGAAATTAATATAGCGTACTGAAAATATACCAAAATTATTAATTTACAACTAGAATTTAAACTCATATCAATCTTTTTTATATCATATTAATTTTTTCTTGATGCAACAAAGTAACCACAAGATTATATCGGATCATCAAAGTTCTACTCACTATTGAGAATAGTTAATATTTCTATATTTGTTAGTTAATAGACTTGTCAACACTAATAGTAATAAAAACAACCCAATATATTTATATTAATAGATTGGATTTAGGCTTTTGTACTAAATTTAAAACTCATAAAAATATAAAAAATTAACCAATTTTTTTATATATAAAATTTGATAAATGAACTTCCGTCAATAGAAATCAAGCTTAAAAAAAATCAATATCTTAACTTTCACAACTCATATCTCGATGAATTTTGAGACTATCTTGATGATTAATATTCAAAAGAAAGTCTAGGTCTTAAGCTTTCTTTTGAATATTAATTTATCAAGATAACCTCAAAATTCATCGAGATATAAATTATAAAAGTTAAGGGATTAATTTTTTTAAAAACAATCTGCTTGATTTCCATTGATGACAGCCCAAATATTCAAAAGTTGTTTAATATTGTTTTTTTTTAAAATATTAATTAATAATAAAATTATTGAGGTGTAGAACTTTAGTTCTGTATATTAAAAATTTCATACTATACTGTACTTTTTTATTAATTGTTATATAAGTAAATCTATTTGTCACCACGTGCAACCAATCAAATTATGCACAACTATGTGTAACAAAAATATTAGAAAATTAGCTTAGTTTAGATCTGATCAAAATTTTTTTAGCTTATATCTGCCAATTACAACATTATTATACTAAAAAATTGTAATTAACAAAAAAATTATTGATAAAAATATACATTATTTTTTATTAATGCATGTAATTCATTCAATTACAATATTATTATATCATACTAATCTCAAGCTTCATATTAATTTTTAATACAAAAATAAAGCAGTAATTATTCTATGTTGATTTATATCTAGTAAAAATTTAACTCAAAAAAAAAAGAAATAAAAATAAAATAAATAATAAAATTAATAAGACAAGCAAAAAAAATTAAATATCTTATTTTAAATACTATATGCATATTTGTTTAGTGCTAATTTATATTTAGCAAAGTTTATAAAACCCAAGAAAAAAAACTAAAATTAGTAATAAGGCTATTAAAACAAAAAACAATAAAAAACAAAAAAACTTAATACTTTATTTAAATGCTTATTTGGAGCTAATTTATATTTAGCAAAGTTTAATAACTCTTGCACTACTCAATATATTACTAATATAATATAATTTTATATTCTAAGTAAAGGATTTACTACAAAATCCCGAAAGACAAATTCCTAAAAGGACCCAATACTGACAAAGTTAGCTAGCATTAGTTATAATGCTAGCTAATTTAGTTAATATTATATTTTTTTAAGAAAATAGTTTTTAAGATTTTGTAGTAAAATTTTAAGTAAACTTATTTAGCAATAAAAAAAACATTAAACCAATATAGTTTATTATACAGTATATATTATACAAATTAAAAAAATATTTAATTTAGATTTTTAATAAAAATTTTTATTTAAAATCTAAAATTGGGTATTTTTTTTTTTTAAATTTTAAAATAAATACAATAAAATATACTATTTTAATATAATTTTTAGCCTTGAATAAGTTTACTTAAAACATAAAACTACACTATATTATTTTTTTTTTGGTATTAAAGTGATTACTTTGGCCTAGTGACTTTTTATTAACAAATACATGCTAATATAGTTACAACAAAGATATAACTAGCCACTGTGCTTTTGGTGCTATCTATACTAAATACTTTTATCTGCAGCCCAAACTAGGGCTATCTATTTAAACCCTCTAATTATAACTATTTCTATAGCACTTCTCTAGTAACCTATATGTTAGCATCTGTTAGCTATACTAGAATTCGCAGTTTTGCCTTAGAACGTCTGTATCTTATAAGAGTTTGTACTAACTAATTACTAGCTTGTATTTTTTCAATGAGTGAATATACAAATATCCTCAAGATAAACTTACTAAAGCCTTCTGTACTTTATTTCGACTAGTTTAGTTTTTCACAGTCTCTGAAAATTTCATTTTAATAATTATTATACTCTTATAAGATTTATTTTTTACTCTGATACTCACATTCAGACTTTTCTTTTTCTATAATTCTCTAACTGATCTATCTTTTACTTCCAACTAACAACCCAGAAGATTTAATTCTAATTTGGCTCTAGGAGCCTTTAGCTCATCTCACTTTAGTATATATATTTATAGCATATATTTTTTTTCTTCTATTCAAAATTTTAGTTCTTTGGAGCACCTGGTGTATTTTTTTAGCCTGTGCCTATTGGCCCAAAACTTTTAATCTACAGGTTTGCTAGAGGTAGAGCCCCCTGCTACTGGTTTCCCAAACTAGCAACCTAGTTGGTATGCATCATATATTTCTGTCAATTTCCAGTTTTCCAAATTGGTGATTTGGTTGATAGATTTTCTATTTAAAGATTTTTTGTTGCTAGGTTCATTAGTCTCAGTCCTAACTTTCAAATTTAGTTTTTTTTGTAGCACTATTGAAAGTTTTGGCTACCTTATTACTTGGGTTTTCCAAATAGATATTGATTATTCCAATTATCTAAATTTTGTATACTAAAACTTTTATTCTAGATAGTATACCAAACAACCAATTGATAAATGTTACTAAACACAGACTCATTATTTAATATCATTATTACTAGAATTCAAACTCTAGACCTGCTGCTTGGGAGTAACAACTCTACCACTTTGATATGTCACCACACCTCTACACTATGTTATTAAATTATATACAATATAATAAAAATATAAAAATTGTATATTATATAAATATTTACTAATAAAATATAATACTATATTTTAAATAAACTTGGTTAGTATGAGAGTGTAATAACTTAGTGAAGTAGTAGATTGTTGTATCTCCAAGCTAGCTTAACTATCCCTTAAACCGTCCATTTTAGCAGGCAAATTTGCCTGCTAAAATTTTTAAGAAGTTTTTAAAAATTGGTTTTGATTTATTTTTATCAAAAATTAAGTTATTTTAAAAATTT